TATATGCATTTTCCTACTGATGAAACTTATGTTTCTTCAAATTTTCAACTACTACAAACAAGGCTGCTGCTTATGATCTATAGGTTATTTATTTCTGAAGTGCCTGTTACCAAGTGAGTGACTGAGGATACAATCTAGCCCCTACCCAGCCCACCAATCGGCTGCATCCACACTTAATAAGGTTGCTTTTTATAAAAGTACAAAAGTACTATCAGCTTGCCAAGCTGTGAAACTATGGGGCTGCCTTCACCAAGAAGAGGCAATTTTCATTAATTTAGACACAGGTACTATACAGCTTAGCAGATGTCCTAATCATACATATATTTTTTGAAAATACTGCAGTCGACATCCTTGTTGGAATTGCTTGGATGTAGGGTATGTTTGTTAAACTTTACAAGGCATTGCCACACTCACTTCCAATTTTGTTGTATTAATCTACACTGTCATAAGCAGTATATGAGAATTCTCATTTCCCCACATCCCTTCATCACTTGATAAAGTCATTATTTTTACTTTCGCCAATCTAATGGTTTTGAAATGAGATCCCATTTTTGTTCCATTCAAAATCTCTCTAATTACTAATGTCATTGTGCATCTTTTCAAACATTCCTTACTTGGAATTGATTGTTCATATTATCTTCCATTTACTCTTCCAGATCCACTCTCCACGCTCCTCCACCCTGCTCTGTGCCCAGAGGCTGACCTTTATGAACTGCATAAACAGCTCCCTTGCCCTCTGGCTTCTGGTTGAGTTTGGCCAATGAAGAGCTCCATCTCTACCTGATTGAGAGGTGTCCATGGCTGAGTTCCTCTATCAAAGGCCACAGGTCCTGTCTAGGGATTGTCTTCTATAACTAGAGCTCTCTCTGTTCCAGTAACCACTCCCTGCCCTTACCCTACCCTTATCGTGGTGAGAGGTAACAGCTCTCCACTGTTGCTAGACCCCAAATAATTTAAAATCTCTTAGTGTATTAGCTATTGCTGCAATAATGCTGTATAAGAAATTTCCCTCAAATTTATAATAGCCATTAGTGCTCCTTGCTCATGTACTATGGGCCATCTGGGGTTACTCTGCTTCAGAATGCAGGTAGGATGGCTCTAGGATGCAGATTGTGTTCAGATCTTCTCCGTGTGAATCACTGTGAGGTCCAAGCTGAAGGATCAGCAACTACCGAGGGCATGCTCTTCTCATGGCAATCACAGAAGAAGAAAGCAAGCGAAACCACACAAGCATATTTAAATCCTCTATTCACACATCATGTCTGCTCATGTTCCATCAACAAAAACAAGTGATGACCAAACCTAGAATCAGTGGAGCAGGGAAATACACTCCACCCCAAGGGGCAGGGTGATGTGGGGGGTGAATATTTACAAAACAGTTATCCAATCTATCACAATTTCTCTTATGCTACCCACACACTTGTACACAGTCTCTTCCTTTAATTCTGCACAGTTACCCGCTTTGTGTGTGTGCCCCCTGTTTCTTGTTGGGACCCTGACTGATAGTATATCTTTCTCACAAATTTCTATACATTTTTCAGTTTCCCCTCCCCGTCTACCTTTTAGAGCAGCCCTTTTTCTTTCTTTTTTTTTATGTGCATCCTCCTCCCCAAAGGCCCTACTCCATCTCTGACGTCAACTTTTCCCCACTTCTCAAGACCTACACTAATACCCTAGTGTGTATGTTTCTATATATATCTTCACACTTAGCTTATTGTGTGTGTGTATTCATACGTAGGCCTTTTTGGGTTAATGTCCACTTAACAAAAAATGGGCCATATGATGCAGTTTTCTGTATATTTCTTAACAAAACCTTGAAAAAATTTCTCCAAAGCAGCTAGCAAAGGTCTATCTTACTCCTTTTAAATATTGATTTATAGTCCATGGTGTTCATATAATTCCCTATTGATGAGTGAAGTGGATGCTATAATGTGCTGCCCAGATCCCACCTTTGGGACTGAGGCACTATTTTCCCAGCTGCTGGGTGTGTAGGCTGCTCATAGTCACAGCGGAATCACTCCCCAGAAATTGCTATCAGTGGAAGGGGTACACCACATCCTCCAGGTAATACCACATCCAATGATTACTCAATGTGGAGGTACAAAGGCCTGGCCTTCTCTCCCCAATTTGGAACATTTCTGAATGGCCACCCGAGCTTTAGATATCCCTGTGGGATCAGGTAAGGCCACCAACTGCACATTTCTTCAAAAATTCTCTGCTTGATCCTGATTCCCTCACTCCATTACAAGTGTTGTTCATGAGAGTGTTTCCGATTTGGTGCTAGGAGTGGTTGTAAGAAGCAGATTATGAAATAGGATTTTGGAGTTTGATTACCTGCCAACTGTCTAGAAATGACAACTACAACACTGGTGGTAAAGGGAGTACTGATAACCCTTGTTATGTGGTAGTGGCACAATTGTGGAAACTTTCACCAGTGGTGAAACTGAAATAGGATACCAATGGAAGGAGATTTACTGGGAGGTGCAGTATCTCAAAAGTTTGAGAGGTTCAGAGGAAATAGTAATTATAAAGATTATGCAACTCAATGGTTGTTACTAGAGGCTATTGATGAATCACAGAAAGACAATGAAAGGCTAAAGGTGATTGATTAGTCACCAATTTAAGATAAAGTTGAAAGCCAAAGGATCCAACCTCCCTGAGGCAGGGGACAGAGAATTCTAAGGATTGGGAGTCTGTAAGCATCAGTCCTCTTTTGTAGTACAATCACAGTCCATTTTTGCTTTCCACCCGCATATCAAACCAATCCATCTATGAACTGAGCTCAGCCTTTTGCCACCTTTTCACATTTTCTGGGAAAATCACACAAATAAGAAATAAGGTAGAGAGTTGGATGCATGACCTTCTAACATCACAACAGAGTTGCTGTCCTATGAGCCCATCTGAGGAACATTTGACTATACTGGAATATTTAAATTTGACCAACAAATTTGACTATTAAATAGTTGATGGAGCAGAAGCTTTTTTTTTGTTTGTTTGTTTCCTTCTTTAAATTTTCTTTATTTCCCCCAGTTTTCTTTTTTTTTTTTTTTATTTCAGCAAATTATGGTGTACATATGTTTAGGTTACGTGTGTTGCCCTTGGTTCCCCCCACCACCAAAGTCCGTGTTTCAAATATGTCCATCCTTCGGGTAGTGCGCATTGCACTCCTGGAGCAGAAGCTTTTTACAGCACTGTACATTTAAGAGGTTCACCTACAGAGAGACAGTAAGAAGTACCAACTTTTATTCTGTCCATTAGGGAAACTTAAAAGTTTATTGTCCTATAGGTCATCAACCAGGTATGCACCTAAATAAATAATCAGCATTCTATATTCCTTCCCCTATTATCTCCATATTCAAAGTTCTATAAATATAAATGCTTTCTTTCAATTCTGCAATTCTGGTGGTTCTTCAGTAAATCTCTGGAAAAATAAAACTTTGACAGGTGTTCACCAAAAAATATGTGGGATTTATGGTTTGTAATAATTTTGTCCTTTGAGGCAGTTTTTGAAAACATGGAAACTTTTTTCAAAAAACTTTTCCACGGCTCTTCACATTGCCTTGGCCAAAATCGGATCAAGATCTATTTTCTAAGGCCATAAAACTGACTAGTTTAGAAGAGTCTTCATTTGGCACTGGATGATTGGTTGCTAGTAAGGTCTCCATCCCCAAGACCACCACGAAGCTCAATCTTTCATTTTAAAATGCAAGAGTCAACATCAGCCACTGGCACACAGCTTTTGAATAAGATACAGTTCTCATTTACAGGACAAGGGAGGGAAAAGTGCCATATTCATTGAGACTCAATTCTTTTTCAATAGTGTCTGACATTTATTGAAAATAAGGAAAAAACATTTGTACATGGCAGAGTGCAGGAGTTCTTGTGTTGAACAAAAGGCACACATCAGAGACAGCTGCAAACTGAGAAGAGAAATGAATTCTGAGCAAAACTAACTCTTCCACAGGAGAAAATGAGTGACTGGATTTGGCCACCAGGCACACTTGGGCCCTGACAACCATCTGGCAGGAACACAAGAGTTTTCTAGGAGTAGGGATGCAATGGGCCCTGCTGAAAGTGAAAGGTTGGCTGGTCCCTTCAGCTCAGATACCTTCGAGGTGAGTCCAGATCACGAAAAGCGGCAGTCTGGCAGTGGGATGCAGTGGATAGCGACAGCAGTAGCAGCGACAGCGCAGGTGTGTGGGCAGAAAGACGCAGTAATCTGGCAGGGGGGCGGCGGGCAGCGGCCAGCTGCGGTGGTCTGTCCAGTGTGTAACAGGACCCCAGCTTGCAGCTGGAGCACAGGACAGCGTCCAAATGTGCATGGGAGGGGCTCGGCTGGCAGGAGAGGGCGGCAGCGAACTCCAGAGCGAGGCCCAGAGGCAGCAGCGCCAGCCTGGAGTGCTATTGCTGGAACAAAGGCAAGCACAGTGCAGGAGGGGACAGGAAGGCAGGGCAGATCCAGGCGACTCGAGATGTGGGGAGGGAGGTGCGGCGGGAGGGCGTCGGTTACCACCTTGGCGGCGGCGACTGACGCAGCGGACCCTCCCCAGAGCACCCGCCCCTAGGCCCGAGGGTCTCCCGGCCTAGAAGTCCTCGTCCTCCTCCCATCCAAAGACCCGCTTCATCTCGGCCAGGAAGCCCCGGTAATCGTTGAGGAGGGGGCTGTTCTTCTTGATGTAGGGGATCACCCACTGCAGGGCCGGCCCCGTGAGGCGCGTGATGAGGAACGTCACCTTCAGGGCGTCGCTGGAGAACGTCTTCTCGTCCACGAACATGTACGAGCCCGTCTGCACGATGAACTCCGGGAGCCGGTCGGTATCGCCGTCAAACGTCTCGGGAAAGGGAATCGGGTTCCTCCACCGACGCGTCGCGGGCCGGATGGGCAAGGCCAGAAGGGCCTTTATCAGCTGCACCCGACTATCCATTGCGCTGCGCTCCCTGTGCTGTGCTCCGCTGGGCTGCACTGGGCTCTGCAGAGGTCAGCTCCCAAGCGTCGCCGGAACTGCGTGTCCACGAAGGCGGGCCCAGGCCTGGGGTAGGCCTGGCCATGGGCGGGGCTCTGGCACTTTAGCGGGCTCCGCCCATAAAGCGGGTGGTTGCTAGTGCGCAGGTGCGTCACGGCACAAGCAGGGGAAGGGGAGGACCCGGGGAACGGCCCTAAAGCTCGCGAGAAGGCGGAGTCAGATCGGAGGGGCGGGGCCTACGCTTCCTAAGGCGGGTGTAGGCGAGGGAGCGAGAGCCCGGGAGGAGCCCAGGATACCTAGCGGTGTAGTGGGAGAGTGGAGCTCACTGCAAGGGGATTGTAAGGGTCCCAGTTCTGGCAGTCAAGGAGGTCTCCCGCTCTACCTGTCCCTGCCTCTCAGCCCTTGAGTATTCCTTCAGGGACCTTCGGCTCTATATTCCACTAGAATGAGGTTCCATAAATACATTTTCCTCTTCTTCATGCGTCTCAGCTAGATTACTGCCTCCCTGGCCGCAGATGTGGTAGCTTTGCAACATTAATAGGAAATCTCCAAATATTAGCAAATATAATCCAGAGCAGCATATTCAAGGAGTAATGCTCCATGAGCAGTTAATGTAAGGAGGGTTAAATGTTAAGAAATCTCTTAATTTGTTATAAAAGCTGCTCATAATTCTCTGCCACACTGCCCTGTCCATAGGCAGTTCACAACGCGACAGCTTGCTTCTTCATGGCCAGCAGGAGAGGGACAGGGAGTCTGCTTGCAAGATGGAGTCATGTATAATGTAACATAATCATGGGAGTTACATCGCATCACCTTTGCCGTATTCTATTGGTTAGAAGACAGTCACAGTCCCCACCCATACTCAAAGGTTTGGCCAGGAGGTTAGGGTGGTGGGGGCCACCTTAGAGTCTGTCACAGTATGTACATACCACAGTTTGATGATCCATTCACCTGCTGAATGACATTTGGCATGTTTACAGGTTTTGGCAATTACAAATGAACACTCAGTTACAGATTTTTGTGTGAGCATATGTTTTCATTTTTCTAGGTAAATGCCTAGAACAAGGATTTCTGTGTCATATGGTTCCTAACAAAAGCTCATCAGACTAAGAATAGGAAGGAATTCCTAAATCTGATGAAGGGAACCTACAAAAAAACCTACGGCTATCATACTTAAAGGCGAAAGCTGGAATGCTTTTCACTCTTAGATCAAGAACAATACAAGCATGCCCACTCTCACCACTTCCATGCAATATTGTACTGGACGTTCTAGACAGTACAATGAGGAAAAAGAAAATAAGAAAATGAAAAAATAATAAAAGGCATTCAGATTGCACAGGAAGAAGGCTAACTTCTGTTATTCATAGACAACAGGGTCATGTGTATAGAACACAGATTTTCTAGGATCTATAAAAAATACTAGAACTGAGTTTAGCAAAGTTGCAGGACATAGATGAATATACAAAAATCAACTGTATTTCTAGTAACAAACAAGAGAAATTTGAAACTAAAAAAATTTACACATCATAAAAATATAAAAAACATGAGAGCCAAGTATAACAAAAGATGTAAGACTCAGACACTGGAAACTACAGAACATTTCTGACACAAATTATAGAATATTTGAATAATGGAGATATATATGTTCATAAGTTGGAAGACTCAATATTATTATGGTATTAATTTCCCCCAAATGATCTATAGATTCAATCAAAGTCCCAGCAAATTTTTTAATAAATAAAAACTAATTGATTCTAAAATTCATAGGGAAATGCAAAGTATATACACTAGCAAAAACAGCTTTGAAATAGAAGAAATAAGTTGGAGGACTAATACTATTTGATTTCAAAATTTATAATAAAGTTACAGTAATTAAGGCAATGCGATATTATTATCGAGATAGAGAAATACAGTCATCCTTGGTATTCACAGGGGATTGATTCCAAGATCCTGGCAAATACCAAAATCTGAGAATGTTTAAGTCCTTACATAAAATGGCATAATATTTGCATATAACCTATATACAACCTCCCGTATACTTTAAATCATATCTAGATTACTTATAATATGTAGACTAAAGAAAAAATCAAGCTTTTAAACAATTAAAATTAATTTTATTCAGAAGTCTTACTGAGGACTATAGAGTGAGGCCTATAGCCCGGGAGCAGCCCTTTAGAGAGGTTCTATTAGACTGTTTCGGCACAGTATTTCAGCCCACTGTTTATGTATAGGTGGTAGAGGTTCCATACATGCAAACACATCAAACTTTCTTAGAAGTTACATTAAATCAAAATAACATCAAGATTTGGATGTGGTTATAGATTACAGAGGGATAATCACTAACCCCATTTATCCTTTAAAGAATATAGTGACTCAGGCAACAGACATGGGGGGCCGTGTGCTTCATCCTGTTTTGCCTTCAAAGCATCCCTCGAGAAATCTGTATGTAGTCAGAGTCAGGGGCTTTGTGAAATTAAGTTTGCAAGCAGAAATGAGCAAATACAGCTTCTTACGTTTGTTACTTTCTTTCACAAATATCTAATACAATGTAAATGCTATATAAATAGTTATACTGTATTTTTAAATGTTGCATAATTTTTTATGTTGTATTGTTATATTTATTGGGTTTTCCCCCCTGAATATTTTCAATATGCAGTTGGTTGAATCTGCAGGTGCAGAGACTATAGATGCAGAGGGCCAGCTGTTGATGAATGGGACTGAATATGGAATTCAGAGATAGACCCACACATATATGGACAGCTGATTTTTGACAAAGTTGTAAAGACAATTCAGTAGAGAAAGGATAATCCTTTGAACAATGACACAGAAAGGTATCTATTTACAAAAAATAAATTTTGATTCATATCTCATACCATATACAAAAATTGACTCGAAGAGGTTAAAAGACCTTATGGTAAAATATAAAATTATAAAACTCCTGGAAGAAAATAGGAAAAAACTTTTGCAACCTTAGATTAGACAAAGATTTCTTACCTATGACACCAAAAGCACAACACACAAAAGTAAAATTAGGTAAATTGGACTTTATTGAATTTAAAAGCTTGTGTTCTTCAAAAGATCATGTTACGAGAATAAAAACACAAGACACAATATGGGAGAAAAATATTTGTAAATGGCATATCTAATGAAGACATGAATACAGGATATATAGAACTCTCAAAACTCAAGTGTAAAAGTCAACGACCTGATTAAAAATGGGGAAAATATTTGATGAGACACTTCACTAAAAAAGATAAATGTATAGCAAATAAACACACAAAAAGATGTTCAATATAATTAATAATTAGGAAATTGCAAATTAAAAACACAATGAGTTACCACTTCGCACCTATTAGAATGGCTGAAGTAAACAAAATCAAACAAACATACAAAAACCAGAACAAAACAAAACCTGAAAATACTGAGTCTCAATGAGTTTGCAGAGCAACTTAATCTCTCATATATTATTGGTGGAAATACAGAATGTCAAAGCCACTTTGGAAGACATTTTTGGCATCTTATAAGGTTCTTTCATGCAACTTTACAGACTATAATTCCTCCTCCCTTGAGATAACCACTATTTTGAATTCTATAATCATTTATTTTTGCCTATTTTTGACATTGATATAAAGTGGAATCATAAAGTATATACTATTTTGTGCCTCACATCTTGTGCTCAATGTAATATCTGTACCATTCATCCATATTGCTGTGTGTACTAGTATAGTATTCCATTTTATGAATATGCCATAATTTGTTTATCCATTCACCTAATCTAGAAAAGTATTAAAAGGATAATATACTGTGATTAAATGAAGTTTATCCCAGGAAAGCAAACTTGTTTTATCAATCAAAAACCAGTCATGATTTACTATACTAACTGAAAAGAAGAGTGTAGTAGACAGAATGATGATCCCCCAAAGATGTCCACATCCTAATTTCCAGAACCTGAGAATATAAAGCAAGAGGGAATTAAAGTTGAAGATGGAACTAAAGTTGCTAATCAGTTGCACTTAAAATACGCAGTTTATCCTTGATTATCTATTCATTTAAACTCTTTTTTTTTCTTAGACACAGAGTCTTCCTCTGTCACCCAGGCTGTAGCCTTAAACTCCTGGGCTCAAGCAATCCTCCTGCCTAGGCCTCCCAAAGTACCAGGATTACAGGCATGAGCCACTGAGCCTGGCTGAGCTCTTAAAAGGGGAAAGAGGTAGAGTGAGTTAGAGATATGCCACATGAGAAAGACTTGAACCACCATTGCTGATTCTGAAGATGGGGGAAAGGGGCCATGAGTCTATAAATGTGGTGTTCTCTACAAGCTGGAAATAGTCTTCATTTTACAGAGCAAGAAAATGGTACCTCAGTCCTACAACTACGAGGAACTGAATTCTGCCAATAGCCTGAATGAATAGGAAAAGATTATCTCCTAGATTCTCCAGAAAGGAACGTAACCTCCCAATACCATGACTTTGGTCTAGTAAGACCCATACCAAACTTCTAACATGCATAACAGTAAGGTGACAAATTTACATCGTATTAAACCACTGAATTTGTGGTAGTTTGTTAAGACAGCAATAGAGAACTACTACAAAGAGAAAATCCATATGATCATCTCAATAGACACAGAAAATGCATTTGACTTATTTCATTTCACTTACTGCTATTAAGAAATAGATAAAATTCATGGAGGGTATCTTTGGAGGAAAGACATATCACATTTACTTGTGCTGGTGTCACCCTTTTACTGAATACTCTGTATGGATGCTTGCAGAAGTGCATGCTACCCTGCTCCTCAAGACTTACATAACCCAGCCAACACAAATGTGTTCAAAGTATCTATGGCAAACAAGTGATCAAGGTACACATCATAAGTAATAAAATATACTGACATCATGGACATTTTGATATGATACACTGAGACACACCATCTTTTCTATGGCATACTGGTAAAAATAACTCATTCTAATCATGAGAAAACATCAGATAAATGCAAATCCAGGGACATTTTACAAAATGATTGCTCAATAATCTCCAAAAGTGT